TGTGTGTGTGTGTGTGTGTGTGTGTGTGTGTGTGTGTGTGTGTGTACCAACAGCCTGGTCCTGACCAGAAGAAAAGCGATCGCTCTCTTTTGAGTCAGCTTCTTATAAAACAGTGAGCCCAGCTGCGCTCACCAAGGAGAACCATCCATTCCTGCGCGTCACTTACAACAGAAGCGTCACCGCATTCGTCACCCAGTATTCTCAGCATCTCCAGTGACTAATCCGGTTCCAGCCATACCTCTGATCAAAGAGAAGGAGGCTACCATGAGAAGTATCTTTCAAGCCCATCTGTGTGATTAGACCCTCTATGTAAGGGGAGACATGTATGTGTTCTCCGGTTATCTCATCAAAAGCTAGCAGTGGGGAGATGGAACCCCAACTGGACAGCTCTCATCACCAAAGATGCTTCCAGTACCCAGAGTAGGTCACACCTAATGAAGTGGTTGGCCCAAGAGGCCCCATGGGAACTTCCGAGTGTGTCCCTGACCATGATGTCTTCTGATCCAACTCCCAGGAGGCTCATAGCATTGTTGTCCTCCAGAAAACAGATCTAGACAGATGTGCCCAAGGTCAAAGAACTGGCAAAAGAGCAAGTGGAGGCTGGAACACAGGTTACACACACACACACACACACACACACACACACACACTCACTCACTCACTCACTCAGCTTTCCTCCCATTGCCTTTCGAGAACATTTTTGCAGGCTCATCAGTACCATGACTGCAACTGTGCCAGGTGAGGACTGCAAATCCATCTTCTTTCTCCCTGGGCAGGACTCACTGCACAAAGCCAGGGGGCTTTCAGAAGCCTGGGGTCCTGAGGCTGTGCGGGCTAGCAGGCTAGCTCTAGTACCTCTGACCCCCTGGTAAGAAAACAAGGCATGGGCCAAGACAGCCCGGAGCAGTCTCTAGGGATAGGGAGAGAAGGGGGTAGGGGTGGGGGAAGGGAAATGTGGATGGACAGCAAGGCTGATAAAAAAGCCCTGAAGGGGTTCTGGAGACATGCCACACAGATTCACACACTGCACAGACACACGCATGTGCACGCCTCACAAGTGTGAGAGGGTAACGCCATGAGCTTCGGCAGCAGGAAGACCTGGTTGCTTTCCTAGATGGAACCTTCTGGCTATGTGGGTATAAAAGTCAGTCACCACACCTTTGTAAGTCTCCACTCCATCACGGGCAAAGCGGGGGAATCAGGGCTCAGCCAAAGACCTCAGGCAGATCATTGAGCCAGAGCCTGGAGGAGACGATATGAAAATGCAGACAGTGAGGGAAGCCGGGTTGGGCCCTCGGCTGATGATCTAAGAATTCAGACTGAATAAGGCATTCTCTAGAATTCCCAAACCCCCGAAGCTCACATTCTTTTCTCCTTACGATTTGGATATCCAACCCAGCTTCCCTCCCCCTAGAGAGTCCTTCCCATGCATCTCCACCCTAATGTGTCTTCCAGACTGGGTGAGAATATGCTCCCAGCTGCCTCCATTTCACCCAGCTTCCTCATTTCCACATCTGGACTCCAGGCCCAGGAAAGAGCAGCTACCCACAGATGCACAGATCTAAGACAGACCGAGGCCTGTGGCACAGACTGGGTCTTGAGAGGTCATAGTACAAAACAGCCTCTGGAAAGAGGACTGGCGACGCCCAAGGATGGTCAGGGGGATGCGAGCTGGAACTAGATTTTAAAGGGCCCAGGGTGGGAACTCTGGGCGGAGTTCAGTTGGCAGAACCCGGTGCACAGAACACTGGGTTCCATCCCTAGTGCCACATAAGCAGGGCAGGGTGGTACGTGCATATAATACCTCCCAGGATGTGGGAGGTAGAGGCAAGGGGATTGTCATGAGTGCAAGGCTTGCCTGGGATACATAAAACCGTCTCAAAAAAATAAATAAATAGGGCTGGAGAGGTGACTCCGTTAGGTATAATGCTTACCACACAAATGAAGCCCTGGATTGGGTTCAACCCCCAGTGCCCACGTGACGGCCAGCCACAGTATCACACACCTTCCCAGTAATCCTTCCCAGTGCTGGGGAGGCAGAGACAGGAGGATGCCAGAGGCCTGCTGTCCGGTCAGTCTAGCCGAATCAGTGAGCTCCAAACTCAAAAATTAAGATGGAGCTGGCAAGACGGCTCAGTGGGTAACAATGCTCGATGCCAAGTCTGACGACCCGAGTTTGATCCCTGAGAGCCATAGAGTGGAGGCAAGAACTGACTGTAAGTTGCCTTTGGCCTTATACACACACACACACACACACCAAAAATAAAAAGTAAGGTAGAAATCAACTGAGGAATATACCAGATGTCAATCTGTGCCCTCTACACACACCTGCACACATAGGTACACACACACACACACACACACACACACACACACACACACACACACACACACGCACGCACGCACACTAAAGAAATAGGTAAACAAATAGATAAGTAAATAAACAAAATAAATTGAAAGAGCTGGCATATAGACAGGACCCAGGCCTCTGACACACATTTCACTAACTCATGTGAAGGCCAAGTGCAAAATCAAAAGTCAGGTACTGAGGTCACTGACTAGGTCAGCCCAGCTTAGTGGGAGCCACAGAGAACAGGACGAAGGGGCTGAGACAGAAGAGCCTCCAAGGGCCAGCCAGAAGCCTGGCACTAATGAGGTGGACAGACTGCAACCAGAGGCACCCTGGACATCAATGCCGGAGACTGAGTCAGCAACCCAAGCTGGAGGCGTATGGAGCAAATGGGCTGGATCCAGCCTCTTCAGAAACAAGCGGGGGCGGTGAGCTGGGCTTGAGGAAACCAAGGCAGCTACATCAAGCAGGCCCCCGTGAGAAGCTGGGGTGTTAGTGGGCCCAGCACTGTTACCTGCTCCTAGGGCACGGAGAACAGGTTGACTTTGATCCTGCGGCAGGGAGCAGCATGGGGGTGGGTGGCTACCTTGGGTCCAGGGAGCCAGCCCTGGACTCCTCAGTCACCTCCTCATCATCATCGTTAAAATGGACCTTCTCCGCCCCCAGTTCATCCTTGTGCAACATCTGGAACTTCTTTCTTTGGTCCTACTTCCCCAGGGCACCCCACCTGCACACTGTCCGTCTTATCCAGCAAGCTGAGATCAAGAGCTCCTCTGGTACCTTCCGTGTCCTGACTCAGCAGAAGGGAGGTCGCCTCACCAAGCCTAGGAAGGCAGGGACACACTCCCTTTGAAGTTCTCCTGCGATAGCCTAGCTTCTATGCCTGTCTGTGTGACCCATAAGCACTGCCTGCCATCTCTGTATCCTGCTCCCCGTGAGAGGTGAAGGCAGCTCCATCATCCTGGATGCTCTGCCCCTCCTCCCAAGCAGTGCTATGGAAGCTGCCTCTTGTGTCTTCTAGACCCTGGTCAGACTTTCGAAGCAACTGAGGTCCAGACAAGTTAAAAGAATAACTCGAGCCGGGCAGCAGTGGTGCACGCCTTTAATCCCAGCACTCGGGAGGCAGAGCTAGGAGGATCTCTGTGAGTTCAAGACCAGTCTGGTCTACAGGGTGAGATCCAGGACAGGCACCAAAACTACACAGAAAAACCCTGTCTCGAAAATCAAAAAAGAAAGAAAGAAAGAAAGAAAGAAAGAAAGAAAGAAAGAAAGAAAGAAAGAAAGAAAGAAAGAAAGAAAGAAAGAAAAGAAAGAAGGAAAGAAAGAAGGAAAGAAAGAAGGAAAGAAAGAAGGAAAGAAAGGGAAAGGAAAGAAAAGAGAAAAAAGAAAAGAAAAGAAAAGAATAACTCGAGACTGCACAGCTAGGCAGTTTCCAAACCCACACTGTACTGATTGCCCCAGGTAGAGACCAGAGGTTATTGGTTGGTGGGCTGATGGGCTATGGATATTCTGGTAGTAGAGGCAAGAGAAATTTAATGCAGCTCACTGACTTATCCAGCTCAGGGGACCAAAGGCTGGCTGGGCCTTGTCATGCTCCAATCCAGGATGGAATTGTCCACAAACCCAGACTTGCTCACCTTGTGAACCTCTCTCTCTCCAAGCCTGGCCACGGTTCCTCACTATGACCATGGGACTGCTCCCTGCAAATGCCCATGAGGACTTTAAGCAGACAGGACAAAGTGACTCCCACACTCCCTCCTGTCCCACAGTCCTTCAGCATTTGAGGGCTTAAAGCAGAGGTCTGGGACAGGGAAACCTTGGCAGCCCTGGGCGCCAGCCTCCAGGCAGAATTCCGAGGAAAGTTACCCCCACCCGCCAGCCTCCACCCCAGCTTTCTCCAGTTAATTGAGATAATGACCTAACTCCCAGGGCCAGGGCCGCTTCCAGCTTGAAAGGGGCTTTGAGAAGCTGGGATAAAAGGAACCAGGCTAGTATAAAGCACGGAGCAAGTTGTCCTGGGAGAGAGGCTGGCCTTCCCTAGCCCCCCTGCTGAGTCACTTCCTCTCTTTCAGCTGCCTTTCACCTCTGCAGTCCGCACACACCAACTCTCCCTTCAAGGCTGGGATGGGGTCATCCTTGAAATTCTGTAGTGCACAGGCCAACATCAATGCCCTGAGTTCCCAACCCGGGAGGGTGGGAGGCACAACTGGCCTTGACAGGCAGGGACAGTATTGCATCCCCAGCTTCATGGTGTGCTCTTCCGGACAGCGACAGCTCAGAAGTCAGGATCCTTTGTGACATTTTCTTTGTTTCTTTTTTGTTTTTCAAGACCGGGTTGCTCTGTGTAGTTCTGGCTGTCCTGGAACTTGCTCTGTAGACCAGGCTGGCTTCGAGCTCACAGAGATCCGCCTGCCTCTGCCTCCTGAGTACCGGGATTAAAGGCGTGCGTGCGCCACAGCCAGCCAGCTCCTTTGTTACTTTTTAAGAAGCAGAGGAGAGGAATACAGAGGTGAGGAGACCTCTTAAGGTCACAGAGAACATCTGAGGAGCAGACTTAAGCCTTCCAACTTCCTGCCTGGGCAGCCAGATGACTTGACCATTTAAATGTGATACTTTGTGCGGTAGTAGCAGCAGAGGCGTGGTGGTCGTGACCTTTCAGCTATTTCTTCCTTTCTTTTTTTTAATAAATTTATTTTATATGCATTGGTGTGAAGAGATCAGATGTCCTGGAACCGGAGTCGCAGACAGTTGCAAGCTGCCATGCGGGTGCTGGGAATTGAACCTGAGTCCTGAGCCCTCTCTCCGGGCTGTTCACTGCCTCTGAGGATCACTAGGCATTTTGGGAGGATGAAGATGGAAATGAGGTCTTCCAGAAGGTGGACAGGGGGCAGCTACTAAGGACAAGGCTGAGCGGGCTGGCCTCTACCCACAGACTAGAAGCAGTACCCCACAAACCATGCTCCTTGGGTTATCTTGATCTGAGGTGGCCCCAGATCTCCCACCTCACCAGGGCTCCCATTCAACCTTCAGACATGAGAGAGCGACTGCTTTGGGACAAAACTGAGCCTGTGGACAAAGAAGCCGCGGTCCCTGCCCTCGGTAGAGAGGAACCATTGTTCATATTGTGGCGGACCACAGTGTGGAAGTCAGGACAGGGAGCAAGCGGGTTGTGGGGCTGGAGGAGCCCGCGGGGGAGAGAATAGGAGCTGTGTGGGGGGCTGGCTGTTCAAAGACTGCTCACTTGTACTTTGGAATTGAGACCCTCTCTGTGTTTTTAGATTATTATTATTGTATTCGTGTGTGTGTGTGTGTGTGTGTGTGTGTGTGTGTGTGTGTGTGTGTACCATGACAAACATGTGAAGGTCACAGGACAACTTGTGAGAACTTGTTCTTTCTTTCCAGCGTGGGTCCCGGGATCAAACTCAGGTCCTTAGGCTTGGTGGTAAGCACCCCCACCCACAAAGTCATCTCTGGGTCTCCCCTTTCTGATGTCAAGGCAGCTGTCCCTTAAGCTGTTAAGTTCAAGGCTTACCATGTCATTCCCTAAAGTAGCCAGCAGCCTTAGCCAGCCTTCCCACTAAAAGCTCCTTTATCCCTACAAACCCACAACTTGGGGACCACCCGTAGGTGGAGTGAACACAAATTCACACAGTGTGTGGAGCATCGGATTCCTTAGTCGTGGTACTCCCAAATCCATGCTTACTAGAAAGCAGTGGAAGAGCTGGTGTGAGCCATAAAGAGCTGCCCCCAGCAGGGGTGGTCAAAACCTCAGGACCGCAGGCAAGAGATGATGTAACATCTTTACCATGGGGATGAGGCTAGCTGCCCAACTGTTTGAGGTGGCTTAGGTAGAGTCTGGCCTGGAGGCAGGGGGCTCACCGTGATGACCCCTGGGGTTGGCTTTACGTTTGGGCAGATCTGAAAGGTACAAAGAGCACACCAAAGTAGAGGTGTGAGCACCCCATGGGGTTGTTTTTCCTATTTTTCTTGGCACTGGTATGCGGGGAGGGGGCTCCCTCCTCCTGGCACTGGTCCTTGCTGGGGTGCCCGGCTCCAGCTTGTTAGGTTTAACTGGAGCAATTTCCTTTGAACTCGGCTTGAATTAGCATCACCATGGTGATGGATCAGGGTTTTCACAAGTCGACCTGGTCTTCACCTCTTAAGCAATTAGTCCGGAGAAGAAAAGGAGGATGGGGGGGCAGTGTAAAGAAAAGATAGGGGGAGAAAACGGAGGGGAAGAAAAAGAGGGGGATGTAGTGAGTAAAAGGTAGGGAGAGAAAACGGGGAGGGTGAAATGGCAGGGAGGGGGACAGTCAGAAAAGCGGTGGGGTAGAGGACTTTAAAAAACGGAGGTTGGAATATGAGAAGCCTTGGGAGCAAGAGAAGATGGGGAGGGAGAAAGAGAAGGCAAGAAGAGTGCTCCACCTGACCCTGCCTGCTGAGTGCTCCACCTGCCCCTGCCTGATGAGTGCTCCACCTGACCCTGCCTGCTGAGTGCTCCACCTGACCCTGCCTGATGAGTGCTCCACCTGCCCCTGCCTGCTGAGTGCTCCACCTGACCCTGCCTGCTGAGTGCTCCACCTGACCCTGCCTGCTGAGTGCTCCACCTGACCCTGCCTGCTGAGTGAGTGCTCC